AAATCGATGCATATTCTCATTTTGCCATTCTTTTTTACCACAGACACAATATTAGATAGCCATTCAACATACCTGGCTGTTCTAATGAAGCCTGCTTTAAGAAGCCTAATAATCTCCTCTTTCACCTTTTGAACCACTTCGAGACTCATCCATCTTGGTTTCTGCTTATGTGGCCTGAAATTAGGCTTCATTAGGAGCCTATGTTCCACTAATGACTAGTCCAACCCATGCAGTTCATTACAAGACCAAGCAAAGGAATCACTATATTGTTTTAGGATAACCAACAACTGGTTCTTGTCAATAGGATTCAACCAAACACTGATGTAGGTGGGTTGTTATGTTGAACCTTCCCCTAAGTTGACTTCTTCGAAAGGATCTTACACTTGGGCACTCACTGATACTTCCCCTTTGACTTCTTCTATTTTTGAAGCAACTCTTCCATTTGGTTCTATCTCTATCCTTTCTAATTCAATATCCCTACTCTCTTCTTCATAGACAAAATCTGTCTACAAAACTTCTTCTTCCTGTACTTCATGGACTTTCATTTCAATGTCCAATCCACAATATTTACCAAGAGCCAAAGGTCTGGCCTTCTGTTGCTCCTGACTATAACCAATCATCATGGCTTCTCTCTTTTTTTCCTGCACCTTCTAGACTATTGACTCTACGTCCAATACTGAAAAATTGATTAAAGACAATGGTCTGGCTTCTTGGTCTTGATCCTTCTGCCTACAACCAGGCATCATTGTCATCTTTGGTGATGAACTCTTCATCAGCACTCTCCTGTACTAGATGCTTCAGGTGTGCTACTTTCTCATCAACCGTCACTTTGGCTGTTCCATCAGACTTCATCAGCACACTGAGTGGTATCACCCCTTCAATGTATAGCTTGGCCTCTATAAAATCCACACAAGCAATAAAGAGGTGTAGATCTGCATTGATCTCCTCTGTTTCCCCATAGCACAGTGCTATCATTATCTTCTAATGTAGAGAGGAAGGCACACATTTGTTTGTGTGGATCCAATCCCTGCCAAGTAAAGCATTATACTTGGCATTACTGTCTATAACAAAGAATGTTGCCATGTAATCTCTAGTTCCCACACTCAGGTTAATTGGCAGAATGCCTTGAGCCATCTATTTATCCCCAGCAAAACCAGCAATGGTTGTGCTTGTTGGAATCAACCTAGGGTTTATTTTCCCTAATTTCTTCAAAGAGGACCTCGGAAACAGGTTCACTGCTGCCCCATTGTCCACTAACACTCTGTTCATTTGTATCCCATTGAAGTAAGCCTTGATGTACAGGGGCGTAACATGTTCGGTCATGGATATTATAGGGTATTTGAAGGGGTATGAGAGGTTAATGCTCACCTCCTCACTTTCTTCATCAGTTTCCATGGGCTTGGCCACCTCAAATTCATCTTAAACCATGCTAGCTTGTGAATCCTCACTAGAAACTAGAATAGGGTCATCTTCCTGACCTTCTTAGTTTTCCTCCTCAACTTGGAACTCCTGAGGCAACACATAAACCATATCAACTAGTACTGGAGGAAATGAGCCAAACTGTTCCACTGGCTGTGATTACTCTCCTTCTATTTTGGTTTGCTATGATGCTTGGGAGACATCCTGCATATTGCACTCTAGTACCTCAGTGCTAGTGGGTTCTTTCGAAGAAATTTGTTTATGATCTACTCATGTTGGCTTTTCAACCAGGAAGGTCTGTTCAGCTATGAAAGCTTCGAACATTTCATCTTCAGCCAATTCCTTCTCTTTGCCTAGTTCAACCTCTTCATCTGTCTCATGATCACTCTTCATTAAGGCCTTTTCAAGACCTGCTAGGATGGATCTTTCTTTGTCTTTTAGTTCAGCATGAACTTTGGCCAATTGTCCTCTACTAGCATTCTCTTTGATCTTAGGAGCAGGCTTTGAACCTTCTCTTTGTTCTATCTACCCTTTTGACTGTGCTAAAGAAGTACTTTCTCCACTTTCTTTCAGGCCCCTCTGGTACTAGGTGTACCTTCGTTGGATCTTCCTCCTTTAGGACCTGGAAATTACAGGAACCATATTTGGCCCCCTTGTTTTGGGGTTTTTTAGCAGAACCCAATTATTCGGAGCCACCAAAGGAGGCTTGATCATCCTTCCCTTGTCCCTAAAAGTCCTGCTTTGGTAGGTATTACTTTAGGTTTGTTCTGCATGACAAACCAATCTAGAATCCCAGGAACCCATGAACCCAATGCTCTATCTGCTGGGCTTGCTACTCCTGTCTTCAAAACTGGCTTCGAAGCAATTCTTGGAGGCCCATCACTAGACCTGGTTCCTTGTCTTGAGCCAAATTTAGGCTTTCCTTCAGGGGGATTGTCCATTCTATAATAGTTAGGTGGCCTGGTTTCATACAGAGGTCTCTTTCCTTTGTGTCCTGGTGTCTGGTCGGCCAACCAAAGATAAATGATGTCTAGGACCAGTTGGATATGACCTTCTGTTGTAGGTGCTGGCTAGTTTTTGGTCTTTCTGCATATCTTTCTAATACTGTTTCCCATCAATTAGGAGCCCCTTCAGCCATTTGTAACTCATCCTGCATCTGGGACACATCCTCTACACTATAGCTACTTCGAGGGAGTCATCATCCAATGTTTCTTCACTAGAGCCATCCCTTTGTCTTGCAAAGCTTTGTCCACCAGCTAGTGAACTTCTTGTGTCCTTCTTGAAGGCAACCTAGCTAGCAACATACATCTGCACATTGACATCCTCTAATTCCTTTAAAGAGAGATTCTGGAAATCTAGAAGGCCAACATTGACTGTTGCCTCTCCAATTTCTAGAAATGGGTTGGTGTCAATTCCCATGGCTTTCTCAGTCTTAGTTGGAAACTTTAACCTTCCCTTCTGAATTTGTTCTTGGATCTTGTCTCGAAAAACAATACAGTTTTTAGTTGAGTAGGACCAAGAGTTATGGCATTTGCAGTATAATTTCCCTTTAAGTTCTTCAGAAGTTCGGATCTTAATTCCCTTTGGTAACTTCAAGAAATGTGCAGTAAGCAAATGATCAAAAATGTCAACTGCTTTTGTTATGTCAAAAGAATATTTCTTATGAAGGTCTTTTTTTTTAAACTGCTGGTCAATTGTAGTGTCTTTCTGAATCAATGCTTCACAAGTCATAGGCTCTTTTCCAATGATCTCCACTACATCAATTTTATAGTTAGGGTCCCTATAATAGGTCTTATATGATGCATTGCTTCAATCTTCTTCTTCTTCAAGTAAAGTTTCATATCTAGACACTTTATAGGTTAAGTCTACTAAGTCTCGAAACTCAGTTAAATCAAACTTCTTTCGAAGCCTAAATTCCAACCTATTTTGAGCCAATCTTACAAATTCAGGCTCAGGTAATATGACCTTACATTTGTTTCGTGCCCTTTTAAATCTGGCAATAAATTGAGCAGCCTTCTCATCAGGCTTTTGGCTCAATCTTGCCAAGTCTGCCATGGAAACCTCAGGTTCTGTTTGGAAAAATTAGGCATGAAACACTTCCTCAATTTGTTGCCAAGTTTGGATAGAGCTAGGTGTAAGGTTTATATACCATACGAAGGCTGCCCCAGTTAGAGAGTTTGGAAAAAGTCTCAGTTTCATGTAATCATTATTGGCGAACTCACTACACTAGCCTGTAAATCTAGCAATGTGTTCTACCGTTGACTGGTTTCCATTTTCATAAAAAAAAAGGGCAAAATCTGGTATTCTAAATCCCATTGGATATTCATGTACCCTATCCACCCATTTTGGATAAGGTTTTTCGTACATTGGAGTTTGGACCCCCTGAGCCATAGGTCCACTCATCTCTCTAACAATATTAGCAATTTGGTCCCTATAAACCATATTTTGTGCTGGTTGGGCCATTATCGGAGGAACAAACACAGGATTTGGAGGAACTTCATGTGCTTGAGGGCCTCTTGGTCTATATATAGGTACATTTAGGACTGGCTATCCTTGTTGTACTGGTTACTGTTGAGGGTATGGCTGACCTCTTAGAACCTGTCCTGGGAAAGGCCCTGCGAAAGGTGCTACAAAAGGAGGAACAGGTGTTGTTTCTCTTCCAACCGCATGAAACCCCCCTAACCCCCTAGGTGTAAATTCAAACACATGATTAGTGAAACCCCGTGTGCCAAGTATGGCTTCAAACATAGGATTTGAAAACATCCTCATGCCATTCCCTTGTACTGACCCAGATCTACCAATTTGTATGGTTTCGCTAGTGGGCAATGGTACATTTTGATTTGTTAGTGGTCTCGAAAGAGATTCATACCATGACCTCGGCATAAGTGATGACCTCTCAATATTTTGATTACTAGTCTGACCATTAATTTGTCCATTATTTTGCATAAGTTGTTTATCTCCAGCCAATCTATACTAAAGGAAATTCACGTTTTCTTCAGTCAGTCTTACGACAGTTGGTTGAGAGTTCATTCGATCCAAAAAGGATGTTACCCATCTTTCCATTGTATACATTAGTTGTTGCCCCATGGCATCTACTAAACCTCCCCACGGATTCATTGGTTGGGTAGAAGGGACACTTGAATGTCCAGTTTCATGGCCCTGTCCAGTATGTTAGACATGTGTTGCATATTCTAAAGTGCTAGTCTGTTCGACCATTTGTGGAGGATCTGATGGGATAGTTGCATCCATAGGATGTGATATTACATTATCCTCTAGGTTAGGTACTTCTACCTCTCCTTCCACACTTTCTTCCAAGCATTCATTTTTTCATCTTGCTCTACGTCTAGCCATTTTTAATGGTCCCACTGGACGTGCCAAAAAATATATGTTGACATTTTTTGGCTTTCGAAGGTTAATTATGTAAATTTTAAGCATGTCAGCAAGGATCAATAAGTCCTTACAAAATTTTAATTGCCAACTAATTATCAAACGATTGTGTTGAAATTCTTTCAGCCTTAATAAAGAGGACTTTTACTGGTGGCTTGTTTAAGAGAAACTTATAAATGATCACAGGTACAAAATAGTTCAAAAACTAAATTTCATTAAGTAAATAAGAACTTACAATGAAATGACCCAGCCTTGAAAAGGTTTATAGCAGCAACTACTTGAAACTACTCCTAGAAAATGAAGTGTAGTACAAGAATTGAAGAACTGGAAATGTAAAGAACTGGGAATGTAAAACTGGAAATAAAATATGAAGTAAATGATTAGTTTCTGGATCTGAGTCTGGGTCCTCCTTCTGATGACGTTCTCTTCTATTTATACTTTCTAAAGATAACAGTCGAAGTGGGCTTCTAACCATCGAAATGTCCTTCTACAATCACTGATCATGGTCTTGCACAGTTAGCTCCCACTACGCCATCTTTGCAGTTAGACCTCCCTCCTGAATTTGAATTTGAATTTGTGAGTAACCGTTAAACCACGTCATCTTGTGCCTTCTAACTATTCCAATGTTGCGCAGATCCATTATTACCAATATGAACTACCACGTGTCTGTTGCTGATTGAAGACTTGCATTAACTCCCCAAATTACCCTCTACAAGCCACGTGTTAAGTTGCAATTGGCCTATACAAAATATATAGCCAACAGATATGTATATAAAGACTTAAAAAATAAATAAAAAATATAGACAAAATGGGTCCCGTGATGGATTCATAAGAATCCAATAGCATAGTTCAGTCTCTTCTTCCAACTAGAGAGAAATTGAAACCTTAAAAAAAATAATGACACACAAATAAGAAATTATATACAGAATGATAAGATAATTAAAAAAAATGATAATAAATCTAAACTAAGGAGTGTATAAGACATTAGATCCGGTAAATATTTTTTGTTAGTGAGAGATCTACCTTTTGTGAAATAGTTTGATGAAAAGTTCAAAAGGGCATTTTGTTTTCCAATTTTACCTTTTAATTTATCTACCAACTCTTTTTTGATTTGTTGACTTTTCATTGACTATCTGTTCAAATTTATATCTATCTGTTTAAGTTTTTTTCTATCTATTCAAATTTTTTCCCTTATCTCAAATATCTGTCCAAATTTTATTATCTATTCAAATTTTTTTTTATATATTTTTTTATCTATTGAAATACCAAGCCAAACAAAATTCTATTTGTTGACATACCCTATCTGTTGCAATACCAAATCCTTATCTATCATATTTTTTGTTCAAATGTTCAAATTTTGAATAAATCTATCCTATTATCTGAAGTTCAACAATCCAGATCCAATAATAACAGATATGTTTCAATGCCATTTACATATCTGTTTTATCAACAACAACAAAATTCATCATCAATAACAACAACAAAAGATCAACAACAGCAACAACAACAACAAAAAAAGAGTTCATCAACAACTACTAAAAAAAGATTCCAACTCCATCTTCACCACCATTGCGAAGCCTGCTACCACTGTTGTATCAAACATTTCTTTTCTTTCTTTTCATCCTATAAAACAAATCTTCATACGTTACAAAAACACAAAAAATCAAAAACAAATCTTCCAAACTAAAATTAAAATTTTACATCCAAGAAAATTACCACAAAACAGATAATTTCCACATAAAATCATGATATATCAATCGATCTCAAGTTGCACATTAAATTAGACCGATCTATACATACATGCATACATACATACATACAATCATACATACGTATATATAGATTAAGCTATAACCACGTATACACACAAACACACACATATATACATATATAAAATGCAACTTGTAGGTGTTGATTTCTAACCTCACAACCAAATAGATCCCTTTGCCGAGATCTAAGGAACTTAGCTGGAGAGCACTTAGCAGAATAGATTAAGCCGAACACCTGCACACAAGACATTGAGAAATATCGTGGTGGCTTGTCCACCCAGATGCACTCCGACGATCAAGTTAGTCAAACAATCTCTCAAAGATATCAAACAAGTGAACAATGCACAACTAACGGGAATGCCTTACTTTTATAGCCAGCAATACCCTCGTCCCCTAGAAGTCTCACTTCATAAGACTCAAATACAATGCTTATCTCGAACTCTTAGTTAGATATGGATGAACTCCTCAAAAGCCTCATCCTTATCCGATCTAAGCACATCACTTATCTAGGACTTTTGTCATCTATCAAAATATCTCGAATTTTGGTATTACCGCACCACATCTCGGCAACACCGCAACGTCCTCAGCAAATTGGCTCGTCTATGTGGCAAATCGGCTAACACCTCGACGGTACCTCGGCCACGTGGCACGACCTTAAATACATCCCCACACAACTCAAATAGAAACAGCGTCAAATTAGATGAAAAAGAACTCAAAGAATTGATCTAAACACTGAGAAAACAAAAATGAAACGTACCTCGAGTGCTCAAAGCTCTGAACAAAGTCGATAGATGGAGAAAAAAGTCTCAGATCTCAAAACCAAAGAGAGAGAGAGAGAGTCGTTGTATCAGATTTCGAAGCCATAGATGGTCGGATTGAAAAAGAAACAAGCTAGATCTACGAAAGAGCCCCCACTAGATCTCGCAGCCATAGATGGATCGATCTTTGGTCTCGTCATTAGTAAATCGATCTCTGATCTTGGAGATCTCGACATGCTTCGTATTCATCATCAGTCTTAGGGAGAAAGCGATGGAGAATAGTGGTAACAGGGAGGATGAGAAGAGACGGCAGAGGATGGTGGTGTTGGGAACGGGGGGACAAGACAGATAGAGATAAAAGAGAGACGATTTGGATCTTGAAACCACCGAGGGTGGCCGATGACGATGACGCAGCAGTAGCGAAGGAGGAAGACTAGCAGCGACCACGAAGAAGAGCGGCGATGGAGCACCGAGAGAGGAGAGAGAGACAGAGAGAGACAGAGAGAGGGACAGACAGATAGACAGACAAAGAAATGAGACAGAGAGGGGTTCTGGCTGTGTATGTGTGATATATATATATATATATATGTATGTATATGTATAGAATTTCTTGATTATTTTGTCTAAACTTGTCATTTTGAATAAAGTATTCTAAGAACTGAATATTTAGCCAAACAAAATTGGTAATTGAATTTATAGATCGAGTGAAAAGATAAAATTATGAACCTATCACTTTGTCTTAATATCAAACATGTCACGGATACATCACTCTAGTATATGACCCTGCATTACAGTTCTAGGAGATCAAAAAAAATAAAATAAAATAAAATAAAAACCTATTTCTTTAAGACATGCGGATGTTGAGCATTCGTCATCAAGTAAAACAGATTAAACGAGATGTCACTATTGAATTAGGTTACTATTTTCTTTATTATATTATTTTTATAGTTTTGGATACAATATTAATTTTATATTATTTTTATAGTTTTGGATACAATATTAATTTTTGCGTTTCTTAATAATTGGAGAACAAAAAGACACTGTACCGCATGGGGTTGAAAAAGAGGGGTTGGTCACGGGGTTGTAATGCGTGGAGACTTTTTGTTTGTTTGTTTCAAGAAAACAAAACCCTAACAACCGACAAAACTCATGAACTTCGCTTTGGTCCACAATTGTACCACATAATTATGGAAAGTTTTTTATTTATTTATTAGATTTAATGTATTTTGCATCCTATAATAAGTTATTTAAATAAAATACATTAGGGTATAAAATAAATCGTAGAAAAAAGAATCTCTATATAGGTAGGATACAAATATCTACATAGAGTGAAAAATAAACTTCCATGCAAGGAGGAGAAATGCATTGCAACAAAAAAAACATAAAAAACAAATAAATAAAATATTAAAAAAAATATCCACCAAATAAACATTATCACTTTTATGATTCGCTCATTGTTGCAATCAGTAACTATGATATTTTAATTCCTATTTTTATGGTACAAAATAAAATATTCCAAATTTGAAGTTGCCTAACGTACAAAATTACATTTAACAGCGTCGGATCTCGATCATGAATTAGATCTGAGTCTAGATTTGAAAATTTTCTCAGTGACAAACCGATAATAAAAACGAGAGAAGCGGTAGTAACTAATATTGTTATGAACAAAAAAGAAAAAAATGAGAAATCGTGGGAGAAGAAACATAGTGGAAAAGAAGGTTAGAAGCACCCTTTGTGCAAAGAAAGAGAGAGATTCCGACGGTTTCTTCTCCCAATTTGTTTCTTAGAGAGTGGAGAAGGCAAGTATTGTAACAGTTATGGGTCAGTTATACTGAATTTTTGAACTTTTTTAAGTTATAAGTAATTCTATTTACACAATAAAAATAGTTGGTTATATTCTGAATTTTTATTTTTTTTATTACAATTTTCTTTCTATTTAAAATTTTCAAACACATTCAAATCTCAAAATTGAAACCTTAATATTTTGGGCACTCACTCCATAATTTTTTATTTTCTGTCTAAAAGTTTACCCTTTAAAATATTTTGTCCATAAGATAAATTTCTATGAAATGACCAAACTACCCATGTATATTAGGAATGGCAATTTGAACCCGGCCCAACGGGGACTCGGACTGCCCCGCCTCGATAAACTTGGTTTTCCCCAAAAATTACCCCCATAGGGCCGGGGCTGACATTGAAAAATGGATCCCCGACGATTTTTAGACCGGGGACGATGATAGGTTCCTCCTTCCCGGCCCTGCCCCGAACCATCCCTATATATATATATATGTTTAGGGTTTTTAACTTCAACACTTGACTTCTCTCTTTCTCACACTCTCTCTATACACCCATAAAATTTGGGTCCCCTCTCGATGAATGAATCTCAACGGTGGAATAAACAAAGAAAGAAAAGGTTAGAATTTATTTTTTATGGAATAAACTTGTTCTTTGATTTCAATAAGGTTTTGTGTTAGTTTGATTGAGGTCTTTGGAGAAAACATATTTCTTCTTTGTTTACCGAAACACATTAGCAATGAATGTATTTTTTACATTGCAAGTGTTCGATAAAATGCTTCAATCAAACCAACACATACACACACACAAACATGAACACCTGCATTTATAGAATTGTGTTTCTATGCTATATACACACACACACACACAAACATAAACACAAACACACATGGGCCTCTCTTTATTATCCTCCCAAACATGAACACCTGCATTTATAGAATTGTGTTTCTATGCTATATACATACACACACACACAAACATAAACACAAACACACATGGGCCTCTCTTTATTATCCTCCCATTTTTTCACTTTCCAGTCTCTCAATTTCAGGTGTCTCTCTCTTCATTGTCACCTGCATTTTTTATTTTTTTATTTTTTTTGGGCCGAGGAATGTTCGGGGTTGGGGAAACCTGATCCCCGTTAAAGGACGGAGGCGGCGACGGTGATAGGTTTCCCATCAGGGATCGAGGCTGGAGGCAGGGGAATTTTCACCATCGAGGATCAAGGACGGAGAGTGTGATCCCTAGCCCTGCCTCGGCCCGGGCTCGTTGCCATCCCTAATGTATATCTATATATATAAGAATCGCTTAGCTGCTTGAAGTTCATCTTTTCTTTCCGATTTTACCCTTTCATTTTGAATAATTTACTAATAGTGACCTACATGTTGAGTAAAGATTTTTCCGTAATTACGCAAATATTCTTGGTTAATTATGCAATAGTTTTTTCATAATTATGCAAACATTCTTGATCAATTATAAAACAAGTTTTTCCGTAATTACGCAAACATTCTTAATCAATTATGAAACATAAATCTTTTAGCTTTTAACAAATTACAAATACACCCATAAGATTTGTTTAAAATATGAATCGGTCCTATAATACTAAAATTTATAATTATCGTTGGTTATAAATTTTAATTTAACACAATACTCAGAGGAAAAAAAAAACTATTCTTCTATGCAATAATAAATTATCAAAATTATTTATTGAAAAATATTTTTCATATCATTAAAAAAATTTAATTGACTTAATGATTTATTTATTAACAAAATGGTCAAATGAAAATTATTTTTGATATCATTAAAAAATTGTTAATTTATTTAATGATTTGCTTATTAATAAAATTGGTCATTTGTTATGTGACTATGATTTATGTATTAATAAAATTAGTCATTTGTATATATATGTATTTTCTTCGAGGCTTTTCCCAATATAAGCCATTTTTCCATTGTATTTCCAAAACTAGGCCAACTTCTGACGGAATTCCAAAACTAAGTTAAAGCGCCATTACTATTCGCGCTTTTACTGTTAGGAGCGCAAAAGTAGATGAACAGGAAAATCGCTATTACAAATAGCGACTTTGATTAAGAATTCGCTATTACAAATAGCGCTTCTAGCGTTAGTTTTTGTCCGGATAAAAACGCTTTTCTTAACAGCGCTTTTTACCCAAAAACGCTATTTCTAATAGCGATTTCAGTTAAATGAAAACGCTTTTTCTTTTTTGTTAAAATCGCTATTATCAATAGCGTTTTTTTGGCAACAAAATTTTGTGTGAAAAGCGCTGTTAAGAACAGCGTTTTTTATTGGGAAAAAAAGTAACACTATAAGCGCTATTCGTAACAGCGACTTATTAATCAAAGTCGCTATTTGTAATAGCGATTTTTCTGTTCATGTACCTTCGCGCTCCTAACAGTAAAAGCGCGAATAGTAATGGCGCTTTAGCTTAGTTTTGGAATTCCGTCAGAAGTTGGCCTAGTTTTGGAAATAGAATGTAAAAACGGCTTATATTGGGAAAAGACCCATTTTCTTCTGCTTATTTATTAGTTTTGTGAATTATCTTAATATATTTTTTAGATGAGAGAATTATCTTTGTATTTATTTTATATTTATCTATTGAGAAAAACTATACACCATAATTTTTTTTTTATAAATTCAGAAGAAATATTAAAGACTCAGCAATTCACCCAAAATGATATGGTAATAGAATTAGAGTCTATATCATTAGGTGTATAACAAATAAAAAAATAATACATTTCATACCCCATAATCTATCATATATCTAATAATTTATTCCATTCAATTTCATAGATTAATATTCTAATTTTTAAAAAATTATCAAAATACAAAACTTAAATATACTGTAATAATATTCTATCATATATGTAATTTATTCTAGTTTTTTCATAATTGCGCAAATATTCTTAGTCAATTATCAGACAGATTTTTTCGTAATTATTCAAATATTCTTGGTTAATTATGAAACATAAATTTTTTATTTTTTAACAAATTACATATACACCTATAAGGTTTGTTTAAAATATGAACCGGTTCTATAATACTAGAAATTACAACTATCGTTTGTAATAAATTTTAATTTAACACAGTACTCAAAAAAAAAATCTCCTATGTAATAATAAATTATCAAAATTATTTATTGAAAATATTTATCATATCATTAAAAACTGTTAATTGATTTAATGATTTATTTGTTAACAAAATGATTAACTAAAAAATATTTTTCATATCATTAAAAATTGTTAATTTACTTAATGATTTACTTATTAATAAAACTAGTGATTTGTTATGTGAGTATGATTTATGTATTAATAAAATTAGTCATTCGTATATATATATATAGATATATATATATATATATGTATTTTCTTCTGCTTCTTCGTTAGTTTAGTGAATTATCTTAGTAGTTTTTTTATATTTATCTATTGAGAAAAGTTATACACCATAAAAAAATTAATAAATTCAGAAGAAATGTTAAAGACTTATAAGTTCACCCAAAATGATATGGTAATAGAATTGAAATTTACATCATTAGATGTATAATAAATAAATAAATAATGATATTTATCATACCACATAATTCTATTATATATTTAATGATTGATTCTATTCAATTTTATAAAATAATATTATAATTAAAATAAAATAAAAAAACTATCAAAATACAAAATTTAAACATACTGTAATAATAGTTCGTGTCTCGCACGGACCTTTTTAACTAGTATATAAGAACCGCTTAA